CAGACTCTGTCGAATGCCTTGGCAATGTCGAAAAAGACCGCGATGGTCTTTTGACGACGAGGATAAAAACCGCTGAGGATATATTCCACTATGTGATGAAATTGCTGGGGGAGCTCGCACTCGGACCCCCCGCCTTTTTACACCTCCCGCCGTGAGCCGCGTCGAGCGCGGCGACCATTACACAAAAATAACCCTTATAGCGTGATTCAGTATTCACGCACGATGGCTTATTAGCGTATTTCATGTATAACTTTGGTGTTTCTATACCGATTTGTATGATTCTTTTTTATTGAATAGATAATAATGTTATTTTTTTTAATTAGGGATGAGTGAGAGTGTTATAAACGTAAGAGTATACAAATATAATCAGAAAGCTCCGAACTGCTAAGCTATCGGGAGTTACACGTGTTATAGTGAGTCAACTATAAAAGATAGACATATGCTGTCGTGAGATATTTTTTATATAATTTTAAGGAGAACATTTCTGTTATACATGATTTCTGTGTAGCTTTAACCATTAAGGCTGCACACGCGCGAAATATATTTCATGTATGTATATTAGGGAGAGTGTGTTTAGTAGCACTTTTGAGTGCAACAAGCGTGATTAACTCCAAGTCTTAGTACAATAGCTCTATGATACGTTGAGTTTTTTTAATGGCGTCTTAGTAGCGTGCTACAGTGATTTGTTGGTGCTTTACTAATAACAACATTACCAATTTTGTTGCCAAAGTCGATAGGGATCATGTGGGTGTGTTTTAAGGGAGCGCCATCCATATGATAGTTGCATTGATGCTTACTGCTACTTGCGGTATTGCGTCTTGTGATTAATCTGCAAATGAATCTGTGGGAGAGCGAAGCCCTTGTATCGGGTATTTTTATATAAATATTGTAAGCCTTTTCAAACGGAAAAAGATTAATTATGAGAAATTGATTGATGTTAACCTGATACAAGTGGAATAGGGACGATTTTGCGCCATTTACTAAATTCGGCTGCTTCTGATGCCGCCCCGGCTCTAAAAGAGGTACCCTTGAGATGAGAGGCCGCCAAAGTGTCGACGCAAGTAGCATCCCACACTAGGGCTTTACCTCTCTCCCAAGGGACCAAAGTCATACCGTCGGGTCTCTTGCCATCGTCCCTAAATATCCCGCAAGGCTCTAAAACCGAGGGGATATTTATAGAGACAAGAGTCATTCGGATGATTTCGTTCAAAGAACCGTGACGGGAAAACCTACCTGCACTTTTCTTGCATGAAAGTCCGTGGAGCCCCAATTCATCGACGCTGCTACCACAGGGGCACTGGTGAGGTTGACAAATAGCCACTCCTAGCCGGATTACTACGGCGATGCGCAAGCTTTCCCCATCAAGCAATGTGCCGAGATTACTTGATGGTAGAGCATGTAACCAGTGGCTAGATTCCTTAGTCGAAATAGCTAGAAGGCGAGCCTGATCTTGTTGAATATGGAAATTTTGAAATAAATTATGATATTATAATGAACGTCTTCCTGGTCAGTTTCATAGTCTGGTTATGACGCCACTTTAAGATGTTTTTTTAAATGATGGCAAGCCGCCCTGGCTTCACCTAAGTAGAATCTACTAATAAGGCGTTATTTAGATTTAAGTTATGTAATCAAAAACCATTTATTTTTTATCAAATTTTTAATTTAAAAAAAGAATCACCTTTTTTTCAGATAAAATTTTTATATTTATATAGCTTAGATTAGGATTAGCTTAGATTAGATATCTGTTCACGAAGTTTCGTTACAATTGGATCAGCCTAGACAGACAAACAAAAATTTTAAAAATTGGTTATTCATGTGTGTTAATGTTCAAATTATGCTAATTTAAAGACGACACTAATTCGTAATATGCAATAGTAATGTATCATGTATGTAAATAAATGTTGAACACCAAAAAATATATTTATTTCATCTCTTAACAAAACGTAAATCTAACTACTTGTACTATTTTGTTCAAAAAAGATGAGCTTGCTTACGTTGCCTGCAGTTATGCACACAGAGCACGTATATCAGTCTATTAGATAAAAACACACCTACAAGTATTGCTGGCACGCCTTCGGGAGTTTAAACATCTGTACCATTTTATCGTAAAAACGACAACGCACTGAATTTCGAACAATCTTTATATTTCAACAAACTAAGGTATCTAACGTAAGTCGTATCACAGTTTTTTAAAAGCAAAATTACTTTCTTATAATTTTGGATAACTTGTGACCGGTAACAGATGTAATATACTTGACTTCTGATGTCGGATTCTGCGGTGAGATGACAATCAGAGTAAAGGCGGATATGTTCAGTTTGCTTTCTGGTTTACACAATTTATCATTATCAACAAAACAGCAATAAAACTACACATTTACAAATACAATTCGATTAAGGCAGCGCTATGTCCGTGACAGGCTTCCATGTCCAAAGTTAGGCCCTATCGGCTCTGTAGATATGAACATAAACACTCACGCCTGTCACCTAGAGGGGTAGACAGAGACTACAGACTTTCATTTAGCACGATCCTGACATACCTCTCTCGCCTCCTCCACTAACATACTCCTTAGCGACCGCATTTCTACTGCATTTATTCTACTCTCGTGCTTCTTCTGCCACACCATACTTTCACTACCATACGTTAAAGTAGGGACTAATACAGCATTGTGAATTGCCATACGTGCCTTTTTTGACATGTTCTGGCTTTTCACAATGGAGTGTAGAGCCATTTTTACTTTATTTCCTGCATTCACTCGTCGTTCAATATCCTTATCATATCTCCCATCCCCACTGAATACACGTCCCAAATCTATTTGCTCGACTACCTCCCCTTCTATTCTTATTTCATATATCGTTTTACTTTCTGCTCTTTCAAAAATCATAACTTCGTCTTACTTGCATCCACTATCATTCCCCTTTCTTTTAATGACCTGTTAATTAATTTAACCATCATTTGCAACTCGGCCACCGACGACACGTAAGTATGACTTGATCAACGGCGTACAAAAGGCATTTGACGTTATTTGAGATATGAACCTATTGAAATATTTTTTAAAACAAAAGTTTTCGAAATGGCAACCATTTGTCAGTTCTGACAAATTCACGTTCTTTGATCACATGGAATATCGAATATTGATTTTAAATGCAATCGATCCAGAAACAAGAGTTTTCAAAACGGCGCCCACTATTTTCAACACAACAGAGGTATTCGTCAACTTTTTATTATAAAGAAACGAATGTAATCCTATACAATTTGTAGGTGACGAACAATGGGTCATTGCTCGTCGGTTACAAATTGTATTCCCATACAGTTACAAACTGTATGGGAATATAATTTTTTGGGGAATTCAAATTGTTTCTTAAAATACAAAAGTTATAGTATTTTCCTTGATGAGACATTTAATGAAATTTCGTTCCTGAATACGGACTCTTAGATGTTACTAACTAGTTCATTATGTGACCTTGAGTTTTCTCATACGGTGAGTAATGGAGAAGCATGTCGCAGATTCATGTCCCATCACTGACAACACGCGATGGTTGTACATTTTTTTTTCACTTTTTAAGATATACGAACATGTGTCGTAATCTCTTGAACGCTGCCCCGTTGAGTTGGATCTGCCGATTGACCTCTCGGTCTAGACATTACTTAATTTTACCGCAATGCTAGCCCCACCGTACATGTATTTGTACAATGAACAACTTAAGTCTTCTGATGATAATAATTTTTTAATAAGTGTAATTAGTTCAACCTATCATCCGTACGTTTCTGCCGCATGCATATACTATAGGAAGGCCTTCGATTCGACGCCTCATTTACAAATGAAGAGGGTATAAGGTTAGCATACACACACATATATATAGTGTATATATGGTGGTAAGGTGGTATTTCAACTTCGGAAAGGAGGGTGATCCATCCTTTCTATGTGATCACGAGATATTCGTTTCGAGTCGCTCCCATATCATACCCATTATCATTTACTTTTGTACACATATGCTTTAGATAGAAAACCTCGTATGATATCTTTTTATAATATTTTTTATATTTGCTTTCTGGTATTGTTATTTGTTTCAAGGCATATGAAGCTTTTTGCGACGAAAGCTTGAGTATAGGCACCGCTCTTATACTACACTAAATTTAGAAACGAAATAAATGGAGGTAGTGTAAAATGTTATTTTTCGTTAGATAATGAAAGAAGTTGTTTTAATAAACTGTAATTCTTTTTGACAACGGATCTGCATTTTCATTCTTAATTGAGGAGAAGTGAAGATGTCTATGGGCCACAGAATCCAATTACCGTGAGGTGGACTGTGTGCTCGTTTTTAAGCCTTGTTCTATAGAATCCCCTCAATATTTTTTTATAAAAAAATAATATTGAGGGGACTATAGTAATGTTGTCTGTAACCGCGATGTAAACAAGGCAAATTAAACATTCAACAACGTCTTTAATCACGTAGGTATAAAAAAAATCTAAAATTCATATCAGCGTATAACGGTACCTAATCACTTATTCATTTAAAAATATTTAGATGAAACTTCGTAGGGAAATCTTAATTACAGAATTAAAAGTAATATGAAAATAACACAATAAGTTACTAGATTTTTGTTGCACTTTGGTTACTCTACTTTATCATGTAAACTGGGTTACAAATTTTTAAAATCTCGTTGTTGACCTCACAAGGAGCCAAAATTATGTACATAACAATAGGATTTACTCATTTGGGAGGTAACAAATTATCAGCCGGTACCATGTGGACAATGATCGGTATGTGTGGTGACGTGCGCGCCTCTTCGAATATAAAACAGCAAGTGGTGTGGGTGTCGGGGTGGCGGGCGGACCAGTGCAGCGACACCGAAACTTGGAGTGTACCGCAGTTGTTCGTGTTGGAACGGCAGATCAAGCGTGGCCTCCGTACATAGTGGACCTGCACGCAGCTGCTCCGTGGAGAAAGGACCAACACCAGTGCCTCTTGCGACACACGCGGCTCAACACGAACCAAAAATGAGGATACTTCCCATGTGAGTAGCTCATCACTTATGTTACGTACGACGACTCCGCTTACTATATCAAGTAGCATCATCTGTGTTTCAAGTCCCGGCTGAGCGACAGCGATTGCGATGTCATAACAATGCAAATAACCTGAGTAACTTCAATACATTGGACGGTCTTTTGTAAATTTAGTCTTTGTTTTAACATTTTGCATCGCGACATAACATAAATAAATATAGACAGGGATACAGAAATAAGTAGAAAATGTTTGTAATGTCTCTACGAAAATGTTTTACTTACTAAAACACAAGTAACATGTGAAATGCAATTCGAGTAATAGTAGAGAAGTATGTCGAATGAGCTTTGATCTTAAGTGTCTTGCCTTTCTAATGTCACTTTTTGTACCGTTGGCATCACAAAGGTGTTATGAGTTATGACTGAAAAGTGCACGGACAGACGATTTGTGCTTTACACTTTAATGTTGTTACATACGCAGCCGTGTTTGAAGATAAGATAAAATAATTAAGAAATTTTGTAATTATGATGATGTTAGATGTTAATTTTTATATAAAATAAAGTATTAATAATAAATATTAAAAACATTTTCTATTCAATGTTATGAAAACTTTCATGATAAGTAACTGAATCCAGTTATTTAATTATTAAAATTTATAATATACTATATAATAATAATAAATATTGAAACACATTTCAAAAATAGCATTGCCAAAAAAGTTAATGATCCCACATTTCATAATTCATAACTTCGAAACTTCATTATAATGGCTACGGCCTGACCTAGTGTGCTAAACCAATTAATTTTCAAATTAATTGACCGAAACCACGAACCGGTTGCTTTACTGTCGGTCCCATGTTGAAAGTTAGACCCGTGACCTACGATTGAGCAACATAAAGTTATGTAGGATGAACAGTCACAGTTGCAATCAGAGCCTCAGCTTTTATAGAACGCTACTTATACAAAGTCTACATGATATAAAAATGTAAAGTCAGAGAAATTAAGTGACCATATAATCTTTGACAGGTGTATTTGCCGTGCTTTATCCGAAATTGAAAAGTCAATTTGAATGTCAAGTCAAACTTGCAAAAATTAACCGTGAAAATACTGGAAAAATAAGGTGAACACCTTCCATGATCGTATTCTTTCTAAAATTGTAAGCACGATGGTGCATTATTTTGCTTTAGGTACAATTATTTTTTCCCGATATTGTTGTATCAAAGGGGTATAGAAAAATTGATCCCCACACAGGTGGATCGAAGAGGAGAAATAATTGTTTTCCGATCCATCTGTGGATCACGATTGTGCATCAATTCCCATGGTGTTTTGCAGTTGATATATAAAATCATATATATATGATTTTATATATATATATATATATATATAAATCCGAAAAAAATTAATTTAACTTTACTGAAGGAAAATGTCATACTATGTATCCTTGCGAGTAAACCTGTTTTGTTTTGCAGCTTTATATTCTTGAAATTTTTGTCGAATAGCTGAGCGTTTTCAAAATATTTCAATTCTATTATATTACATTTTATTTATTGATTTTATTTGGCATAAACTGATTACTTACAGTACTGCCGCTTAATGTGCAAAACGAAATACAGTAATTCATAAAACATAATTTACTTGTTATTTGCATATTGCAAACATGGCAAGTAACTTTTGTACAGGTAATAAATGCAGTCACTTCTAGTTGTTGGCCTCAATTTTTAAATAAATTGTTAAATTCCGTCATTGCTATAAAATAGGAATTCGTGCTGAGGATTTTGGATTCCACATTCACATGGAGAACATTTTTCTCGGTCTATATATGATTTTTTTGATAAAATTATGGATAATATTATTATAATATTGGAAATAATGATGATTACAATTGATATAATTAATATTAAAATAATTATTTATATTAAAAATGAATTAAACTTCTTGTTTGGAAATCAAATATACTAAATATATTATATGAATAAATTAGTTTCCTCATCAATAAATAGAAATATAAAGAAATAATCATTATTATTACATTATTACCAATGCTGAAATGAAAGATATATACTCGTATAGTTATTTGAAACATTATAAAAACTACGTAGACGGTATTGATCATCTTAAAATATACAGGCGCAATAGTATCCAGTATCGTAGAGATGCACTAAGTAAAGTCTAGTACTTACCACTTACTCAACGCTAACTTTACGAACATAGACATTTGCTAATAAAACATTGTTGTGCAATCAAACTATTGACATTTATTCATAGGATGTAGGGACATACGATCGATTTAGTATTTATTTTCGTCAGTAGTATACTTTAAATATTTATAGTCACAAACGCAGATTCAAGTATTTAATAGCTATTATACTATGTTTATACTTTTAAATTTGAATTAATCGTCTAAAGATTAGAGGTATTGTTGGACTGTGTCACTTCTGCTATTCACAGTTGACGGAACGACGACGATCGGCTACCGCATTGTATTGCGAAGTCAGCTTACTTCTTGGTTCTTGCTTTTTCTAGTTTTTGCTTGAGTGACCTTAATGTGATGTTAGGTATTGTTTATTCAGATCACCTATGCCTACACCACATATAAAATATCACGAACATAGAAAGCTGCACTTTTTCCGACGTGACTTGAGGCCGGAATGTATCGAGTTCAAACTTGCGTTGCATACAGAAGTAACCTTATAATGAATATAAATACACGATACATTTAATACATCTCTTGAGATATAAAGGAATCGTTAAGGCACATGCTTTTGTAGTCTGGCTATCGTGGGTGACGTATTTGATGGCAGGTACTTTAAGCACATCTGACACTTGACCTTATTATATAAAACAGAGAAAACTAAGGGAAGTTAATTGATACGATCGGAAGCGGAAGCGTAATCGTCTAGCCATTCATCTGATATGGCACTGGAAGGTGTGAACCTGTTACTATAAACTTTGAAGTACGTATCGACCTTTAGCGGACTATTTACAGTGGTTAATTTTATACATTCGTTTCCAGTGTTCATATTGCGATTAGTGAATATTGAATGTTAAACTAAACTAACCCACCTCCGTACACGGCATTCGCTCAACCTCGGCGTGCCACTCTAACAGACTTTAACACGCCATTGAACTATTTGACCTACATTTCAATGGTAGCTAGTTAAAAACCAGGAAGTACTGTATTAAAAAGTGTTATAATATTACGATAATATGAAAAAAAAGGTTTGCACATATTAACGTAACATCGTGAAACTCGGAGCGTGAACTTTAGCATTTAACAATCCTTTTATTACCGGTTGAAGTAACAGTTTATATGTTGTACACTGTTACTGACTTTTCTTTACGAAGACGTCATTTGCATGTTGGTTATAATCTTTTTGCACAATATGATTGCATACAACTATGATTAATAATTTAGGGCGTTAATAAAATGACCCACAATTCGTAGAATAGTGGCTGCTTTAACTTTAAAGATTGGACGTGCAAACAGAAACGTATATAATATTTATTGAGTCACTTTTTTAATTTACTACTGGTTTGGTAAAAAACCTCTGCCCTGGGAAGAACCAGCAAGAAACTCAGCGGGACTTAAAAAAATAATAACAGCTTACAATTATCTATATTACAATTAACAACACATAACAATTTAGAAATAGCTTGGGAGCGATCCCCAGGGGTTATTATCGTTCATAAATTCCTTCATATTATAATAACCCTTTTTACACAAACTGAGTTTAATAAAGCTTTTGAACTTTGTGCAGTTCAAATTTTGTATATTTTCTGGGATTTTGTTGTAGAAGCGTATACATCGGCCACAGAATGAGTTACTGACTCGGTGCAGACCAGTAACTGGTACTACCAGCTTGTATATGTTCCTAGTATTTACAGAATAAATATAATTTATTTTTGTAAAACTACTTTTATTTTTATGTGCATACATTACATTTTCATAAATGTATTGAGAGGCCAGAGTTGATAAATTAATTTCTTCAAATTTTTTGTCTGAGCGACTCTTTATGTTTTACATTAAACCAATTTACTAATTTAGATGTAGCATTATGTACTTCGTTATAATTTAGTAGCTGTCGTTATCATTTGAAAATTAATGAAGTGTCATCAGCAAATAATACTACTATACCATGGTTTGTCTTTAACATTTCATAGTAGGGGATCTACTATGTATGAAATGATAAAAACAAATCTTGTAATAATTTAAATCGTAGGGAAAATTATTTGGGAGATTAATGCATACTCGTATGTGTGCACCGGCGCAACACAAGTGGTGCTGCGTCACTATTATAAATAGATATCCCTGACATTTAATGTACATTCCAAAGAACAAGGATCGTTTTTTATACTTGCATTCTATTGGCGAATAAAACTATTAGTTTGTTGTATTTTTTGAAAGCAGTTAAACATACATAGTGCTAAGGCGAATTTTTCTTTTTCAGACATTTTTTGACAGACTGTAGCACATCAATAGTAATATACAAAATAGAAGAATTGTAAATTATCATTTGTAAGTCAATACAATACCCGAAATGTCTTTCAACATTGTCGTAACTAAGTCTGGCCTTTAATCCACTCCAACATTTTGTGAATAGTGGCTACTATTATTGGCAATTAGTATTCAGTGGAAACACAAAGAAGATGTATACGAAAACTAAAACTTCAAAAACGTTCATGAGGCTTAGCCCACTCTAAACACAAAGTAGTGCCTATCTTAAACGCACTGCTTTTGAAATAAGTGAAATCATTTATTATAAATGTTTGATATTGCCATATTGCATACCTAATATATATATTTATTTGTAAATTTCAGGATTTTTCTTTTGGCATGCCTGACTTGGCAAGCTTATGCGCGCGCTCAGGACGAGAACGAAGCGCGGGCGGCGCCTGCGCGTGGTCTGCTTAAACGTGGCTTGTTGACTAAGGGCAAGGCCACCACCACTACCACCACTGCGGCACCACAGGTAATGTTTCAACTCAGTAACAAAGATTTAATTATTCAGCGATAAACCATACATACCTAGTTCACTTCACACAGATTGATTGAATAATACTTGTCAACACTAATTTTTAAAATTCTCTACGGGATCGGGAATAAAGATAATTTATCTTTTTGCTTTAAAGTTGCCATATTTCCGTAAATATAGTTCAATGAACTGGTCCTTAAGCAGTAATATAATAAGTAGTATGGATACTGTGCCGAGTAGCACAAATGTGCTACTAATCCTAAGAAAAGCATAGTTCCTGAAGCATCTATAAACCAAATTGCCGCAATTTCCAATTCCAGGCGAGCGAATCCGTGGGCGATCGCTACTTCTACATAAAAAGTCGTAAGTTAGAGAGGTCACTTGCAACTTTCTTAGATAACGCAATAGTTTTATATGGCATTTATTATTTGAGAATAAGCTATACAGCACGAACACAACCGCAGAGTTGCAAGTCTTTCGGTGATCCTCTACATGTTACCTTTTGAAGAGTTTGTCAAAACTTTTTGGGAGAGTCAAATATTTATTTTTAGAATCTTTGGTTCCTTAATTCCATTCGCTACCTTAAATTTGTCATCCTCTGATGCATACAGAAATTCGCTAAGAAAGACTAATAAACAACATTAGTTTTTCCTGTTTTTCTTTTATTGCTGTACAAGTTTTTGCCAACTAATGCTTACAGAACTATAAGGCGATAGCGACTTTATTTATTTATTAGAATTTGAATTAATTACTTTATTTTATTTAAATACACAAATTTGTTAGAGCGTTTTACGATTTTTACCATGCAAGAGTGTACTTAAAAAAACGTCTTACGATCGCTGCTGAATTTATTAGTCAATACATAAAAACATTTCGATAAATATTTTTGCATTTTATTGCTTGATTTTACCTAAGACAATAATTCAACGTACCTACTGTCTTCGATACGATTGCGGCCTTAACGTTTCACGATTACGCTCTCGTTTCAAATTCTAATGCGATCTGGTTCAAGAGTAGGACACTTATATTATTGCGATAGAAATGCTACGATTAAAACTAGTTTCAAGACCAGTCATATGACCGTACCATATAAAATTATGATGTACGTCTCATATTTCATGTTCTACTTATCGTATAATTTCAGCGTTCTTCCTGATCCATATATACACTTGTATATTTTTTTTAATTATTACTCGTAGCAATGCTATTATATACTAATATTTCCCTTTTCACTTCAAGTAAGCTTTTAAGCTTGCTTGCTTTGCTTGTGTTATAAGTGGTTCACGGCGGAAGTCGAATCATCATCATCATTACAGCCCTTCACAAGTACACTGCTGAACATAGGCCCCTCCCCAAGCAATGCCACAAAGCACGGTCCTGAGCCACCTGCATCCATCGACATCCTGCATGTCTTACCAGGTCATCACTCCATCTAGTGGGGGGTCGCCCTACACTACGCCTACCGGTACGAGGTTGCCACTCGAGAACCTTTCTCCTAGGAAAAGAGGATATCCGCAGTAAAACCAGAGTGACCGACATAGCCCAACGGATTAGTAAGCTGAAGTGGCAATGGACAGGCCATATAGCTCGAAGAACCGATAACCGATGGGGAAGAAAGGAAGTCGAATGGCGGATTCGAATTTAAAACTTTTAAGTTCGCTATCCGCACCCTTAACCATTAGGTTTTCGTTCTTATGTAACCATTAATAATAAATTATTTATAGATTTCTCCGTCTCTCTCTCGTAAGTGGAAACTATGGGAACTGCCAAAACGATCTCACGGGTTCCGATGGATGGTGCTTTTACTGCGATTTGCGATTATTAGGCAAGAAGAGAGAATGTTACGTGCTTGTGATGAAGAATGAAAAAATAGATCCTACGCGATGTAGAGTAGCTGTACTAAGCATACAGCATGAATGGATCAGTGATTAGTCCGCGGAAGGGTCACCGAATAGGAACGTAAAATTGCAGCATAATGCACGCAGCACTCATTTTGACTGGTAACGAAGCATCTTATTTTAGTTGTCAGTAGTGAAAATACATCACCAATTTGATTTTTTCACTTTTTTTGATCACGAATTGATAATAGTTGATGGGGTATGTGTGGTCCACAGGGTCCACTTACCAACAGGCGGACTGCGCTCTCGTTTGTTATCATAACTTTTGTAAAACAAATCGATAACTTACGAGGAAGATTTAATACTCTACTGCTCTAAGAGCAGTGCGTTTTTATGGAGGACGAATAGCGATGGACGTTGTTTAAACAATAACAGAAACTAAGAAATAAAATTCAGACCGCTCAGACCTTTTTCACGATAAGAGGTAGTATAATAATTCATAATGTAGCGTAGTCTCACAATTGAATTTTTGTCGTAGTTTTAGTCGAGTTGATACTTCATACTCAATTTTTTTATCATTCAGCGAAGAAACCTAAATATAAAATCGTTACAGTTTGTATTTCTTTAGATTGTTACGATTCGTTGGCGGTGCAATAGTTTCTTCATCGATATCTGCTGCGGTTTTGTAGAAGCCTATAATTAAGCTCGATATGGACTGTGATATTGATGAAAGCTAAGATCATTATACGAAATAAACCTTTTGTTGCTTATATTATATTTCAAATACGTAATATTTATTGCTATCGAATTACCTTTATCAATGGAAGTTTTTTTTATGTGGTAGAGACACGTTCCAGAATGTTACGGCTGCAGCAGCACCCGAATAGACAGGCTCGACTGAGAAAGAGACCCCTTAAAATTTGCTTATATTAATAAACCTTTTGTTGCTTATATTATATTTCAAATACTAATATTTATTGCTATCGAATTACCTTATCAATGAAGTTTTATGTGGTAGAGCACGTTCCAGATGTACGCCTGCAGCAGCACCCGAATAGACAGGCTCGACTGAGAAAGAGCTACACTCGTCCTGAATACCAGTGAAAAAAATTTTCACTGGTATTCAGAGCGAGTGTAGTATGTATGTTTATGATCGAGGCGTAGTAGGCATATATGTATATGTAAATGAATGTACTCATATACTAATTTGACGAATCATGACGTAATTAATTTAACCGCTCAATGCGATGTTCATTTTCTATTATACGAATATTTTTGTTCAAATAGCTTGTTTTTTTTTAAATAAGAATTTATTAACGAATTGCATTATGTAAATCGCTGGAATTTAACCTTTGCCTGAATGTAATTTCTGAGCAAATAAACTTAGGTATAGACTTTCATACATACTAATGTGCAATGTCGTAATTTAATGTAGTTATAAAATATTGTATTTTTTAATAATATAGATTGCAGAGTTTGTTTTTATGATATATATTTCATATATATATTTGAGGAAATGTCAAAACTCCGCTATCTCAAACTGGTGCATAAGTCCGGTTTTACAAGGAAAACACACTGTTGTTAATGTAAATTAAATGTCATCATGTAGGTAGATACGTTACATTGTAAGTACATAATGTTAATAGTGCGTATGTTCCGTTAAAACTGAGATCTCAGTGCAGGGCATTCAGCGTGCATAAGGCTTAGGCGCTTAGGGTGAGGCCTAGAAATAAAGCCGGCATTGCATAATGTAAAATTTATTCAAACGTCACAAAAACATATTAGTTTTTGTGACATTTGAATAAAATACTTTGAATAAATTTAGATAGTAGCTACCTTACATAACGTAGGCATCTATTGAGGATTTTGGAAAATTCAACCCCATAAGGAGGTGAAATAGGGTGTACCAGTTTGTGTGAAACTTTTTATTTTACGGTACTCGAAACTTACTAAAGGTAGCCTAAATACAGTAAATAAATTCGGATTTACTGATTTTAGTAGTAATGGTAGAGCGTGTGAATCTCACACTACAGGCAGTCTCCGAATGCGGCGATGCTAATCTTGTGAAATTCAACGCCTCCAAAATACAAGCTTGTCTCTTCACTGCAAAAAGAAGCTAGTTCAACTTGGCTCCTTCTTAACGAAATGTATCACTGGAATATACCGACCGCCTCCAGTTGCTAGGGGTTAAGATATCCTCAAATCTGAACTTCGGGCGGTTCATTCGAGCGGCTCCAAGGAGGCTAGGAGTCGTTGCAAAGGTGCGGCGATACTTCATGCCGGGACAGATGCTTACTTTATATAAAGTACAAGTCCGGACGTGCATGGAGTGTTGCTGCCATATATGGGCTGGTGCTGCAAAATGCCACCTAGCGGCCTTGGATTCATACTTGCTTATTGTTGAACCGAATTTGGTTGAAACCAATCTTACCAGCCTCGAACATCGGCGCAAAGTAGCCAGCCTTTCGGTCTTCTACAGGATGCATTACGGGGAGTGTGCGCAGGAATTGCGTAATTTAATTCCCCCCTCTCCCTTCCGCCATCGGACAACCGGACAGACCCTTTCGTTGTTGACTTACCGCGCTTTCGAACCAAACGGGTTGCTACGTCGTTCGACATGCGTGCAGCAAAGGAGTGGAGTAAGTTGCCAGCATCTGTCTTTCCATCCGATTACAGTGTGGATGTCTTTAAGGCAAGAGTGAATAGGTTTTTGTTAAGTCAGTGCGATTTACCATCTTAAGCTACATCACCACTTACCATCAGGTGGGATTGTAGCTAAGCACTGGCTTAGAAAAGTTAAAAAAAATTCTAAACAACCCCATTTAGGGAGGGGGGTTGGGTTAGGAAGGTGTTTAAGTTTGTATGAAGAAAAATTAATTTATGGTTTTTTAAATTTGAAAGTTGGGTCATATACTCTGGAATAAATAATTATAAAATCCTTACTTTAATTTCTTCAAAAATCCACCCTTAGGGTCTAAAACGAGGGTGCAAAGTTTTTGTGAAAAATATTGTATTAACACGCACAATTTTGACAGTAGCTGCGTTTTATGACGCAGACATCCACTAAGAAAGAGTTTTGAAAAAGAGGAGAAATAGAATTTTACAGCTGTTATGAAACTTTTTATTTTACGACTCAAGGCTTCCTAAAAGTACTCTGTA